TCTGTTAGTGTAAAGCGCTTTGGGGGTCCGGAGGGACTTGAAAAGCGCTCTATAAGTTCAGTACCATTTACCATATTGAATATTATTGAACTGGGGTAGTTGAAGTTCACGCGCTTTCTGACAGGGAATTCCCACCTGAGGGAGCGTTCCAGTTTAAATTTGCGACTTGTAAGTTGGACATTCCCATTTCCCAGTACAACTGGGCTGAAGCAAAAGGAGCTAGCAAAGATGTAGCTAGACAAAGAATTTGTATAGCAAATTTTGCCAGCTGCTAGCTAGTTTTAAATTCTGTGCACCGATGCTATCATTTTGTGGGTAAAATAAAATTGACATGCAGTACGGGTGATGTAGTTTATGGTCAATGCTTTACAGCAGCATGCACTTATTTTAAGACATGAATGCCACATTCCAGAGATGTGCACAAGTCTTTTTTGCAAGTCCAAGTCAAGTCTCAAGTCTTTGGCTCCAAGTCCAAGTCTTTGACCAAAAATTCAAGTCAAGTCTCAAGTCTCCTGACCTCAAGTCCAAGTCTAGTTGAATGTATTACTTAACTGGCAGTTTGATCAAAGGTATTCTAACTATACTAGATTATATTCTATAATACTATATTTTAATCAAATATTAAAACATAGTATTATGTTTTAATAATACTATTAAAACATAGTACTGTTTTACAAATACAGATAAGGTTATGGTTGAAATAACAGTCAAGCATTTAGAGTATTGTTAACTGTATTTTATACTTGTAGTCTTACAAAAGCATAGTGTAATTATATCTTTTCATTGACAAAGAACAAATCCAACAAGTCTGCTGCTGATTTTACAACAAAATACCAGAAAAAAAGTATTTTTAAATGGATAAAAGCATGTCAGTGAAGACGATGAACCAGAATCCTTAAAATAAATGGGCTGCACAAGTCATCACAAAAACAAACTTTGGATTTGGACTCCACACACTTTGCATTTTGCCAGTATCTTGTCATGGCGTTGAATAAAGTCTCACTGAAGCTCTGTTTGTCACGTGGGGTACGTGTCATTAACACTGGACGGCGCTGGCCCCTCCTGTTCTCAGGCATGGGGGAGCGGAGCATGAATTGAGGGAGTGAGAATCGTGAGCCGGGCAGTGAAAAGACTTGCATTGTTCGCGAGTCTCAAACCACGAGTCCAAGTCAAGTCTCAAGTCTTTAGGGTCCAAGTCTCTAATAGTAGGGACTTAAGTGTGACTCAAATCTAAGTCTGAGTCATGAGTCCCCATCTCTAGTTGACATCTTACCCCATGCCTTGGGCTGAGAACCTGCTCCCAGGTGGTGCTCTTCCTCGACCCCGAACTCCTGATCCTGGGCAAGAACCACACAAAGATCATTAACGTGATCTAAAGTACCTACATACTGCCAGTGTTGCATTTTCACCAACCTCTGCTCCCTTTGACCCTCCGACCTCGATCTGAACCTTTGTCCACCGGGGTTGCCTCCACGCCGTTCTCCTCGGGACGTGCTGTTTACACATGCATGGATTTAGGTACGACATCGACAAGAGGTGAGATTTAAATTCATGTTGAGTTTAGGTTTCTCACCCTGTCCTCGCCGACCGGCCCCCTTGCCTTTGCGGTTGGCCGAGGCACGACCCTTACTTGCCTCCCTCTCCCCTTTCTTCTCCCTGTTCTCCTTGTTCTCCTTGCTCTCCGATGGGCCTTCTTTCACCAGGGGCTTCTTCTTCCCCACCGTTTCCCAGGAGGTCTAGGCACAGAAGTTGAATAAAACCAATATTCAACTCAGAAACACATTTAAAACCATACTGATTTAAATCTTATTGACGTGTTTTACAAAGATTAAAAACATGTAATGATATAAATTAAAAGTCAAGTCTTCATTGTAAAGWTTCAGCAAGATCATTGACTGTATCTTCAACCTAAATAAATGTTACCATGTCTGAAGGGCTTTCCAGGAGGAAGTTGATGGCTCTGCTAACGTCCTCATTACAGTCATGAAGCGCTACCATGCACTCATCTTGATTCTTCCCTGTCACCTCCATCAGCTGCAGAAGACAATAAGACCAGTTATTGAACAACTCTAACATTAAAATTATTCATTTTACAACACAGATGCCAAAGTCACACAAAAASAACCCGTGACAGATATGAGTGAGCCATCAGCTGTCGGTCAAAGTGCTTTTCACCTGATTAACTTTGTCCTCAAAGTCAGCATCATTCTTGTCATAGATCATCTGAGCCAGACGGATCTGCTCAGCAGTAGCCTGTACAGCAAATACAACGAGACACAAAAAGTGTGTAGATCAGGGGTGCCCGAACATTCTCCCCAAGAGGGCCAAAATGAAAATCTATCTGGAGCTGCGGACCAAATGCAGTAATATACATGAAATACAAATACTTTTTAGGTAAAGTACTTTATTTTTAATTATTAAGCTAGCAGCCAGTGTGGTGGCCCACTTTTTTAAATCTGTGCACTTGGAGAAAGTCTGCCATAAGCTCAAGCAGCAAAGATTCATGGGACATTTCATAAACTGATAAAATATGGTTTTGTGGCTTTATAATGTGTACAAATCTACGTGTGTGGTTGAATCTAATTCTAATGTCTCTCGTTGTTACTTGTATTTCATGTTTAATCGTAACATAAAGATAAAGTCAGCACCATGAGTGAAAACTAACTGTACTACAGCCCCTTATATAATCATTGGGCCAATGGCTGAAATGACTAAGTGGAAATACTATGTTTCTACATAAGATAACAGGTTATTACCTAGTAACTATGGCATCTGCTGGTGGGCCAAATCAAATAGCTTGGCGGGCCAAATTTGGCCCACAGGTCCCACTTTGGGCTCCCCTMGTGTAGATAATAACTAAGCTTCAAGGTCATGATTTAAAAGAAGATCCTGTTCAAATCAAAATATAGGCCTGCATAATGTGTCTTTTTCTGGTTTTATCTTAACACACCAGCTAATTAAAGGTACTCAAACATTAAGAAAATTGGTCAAAAAAATAGATGCCAACTATGTTGTGTGTTTGTTTTCCTCGCAAGCAGAAAAAAATCAACAACAGCGACATTCATGAAAYAGCTGCTTAGGGATCAAGGAATCTGAGAATTTGGATGCTTTGAAACAAATTTACTATATGCTCAGATTTGTTGACTAAAACATATGTCACAAAAGCTTTCTGAGTGTTAGACAAGAGACGAATAAAAAACACTGAAAATAAGCTTAACGTTTGGCTGAAGTTTCACAAAAGCCACGTGTTTGAAGGCGGAGCTCAGAGCATTCCACCACCCTGCTTGATCCTTAATATTTATCTTTKACAGCTGTCCTACTCGTTCTCTTTTCTTTTACGGTTAGCAGCAGATTCACTAAATTTCTACCTGAACGTCTTCTCTGAAATTCTACATTTTGTCCAATACCACCAGGATTTGTTTACCTACAAAGAGGCCATGCAGATCAACCACGACTAAAGCTTTCCCAGGGTTTCTAGGCAAATTCAACTGAGTGRTTTGTTTACACTGAGTGCCAACCCGCAGTATGTTATCAATATGTCTGAAAAACTACTGGAGTAAACTCTTTCAAACGGCACCATTTGATTTAGTTCAGGATGACCATTTTGGTGTTTGGTTTTATAGTTTGCAATGAGTAGGGGTGTCCCAATCCAATATGGATATTGATCTGATATCAGTCAAAAAACAAATATCAAATTAAAAAAAGGTTTTTAAAAAAGGGTAGCCATCTATTTAGTTAGCTGACTAATTATTTTCCACTTGTTTTGGTGCTTGCTAGAGTGAAWTTTTTATTATCTTTACATTATTATTTTAGTGAAGAATAAGGGCAATTATCACATTGGTTTGGGCAGTCAGTAAATTAGAGCTGTGGACTTTTGCACAGAGGAGAGGATCAAATTTTGGATAGTTCATATACTGTATATTGTTTTATGTTTATATTAAATGTTGAGTTCAGAAAACCGTTATTTTTTTTCTTCTTAATCTGTAGGGGATTTTTTTATGTCTCAGACTCAGAGTAGAATAAGCAGTATTGTTGGTCAAGTTATAAAGCAAAATAAAAATTGTTAATTGATARTGCCACATTATTTTAGTGCTTTGAAAATATAGGTTTTGTATTGCTATTGYCAAGACTAATAATTTWWAAAAAARGTATCGGMAGTCAAAAAATCTGGATTCGGACATCCCTAAAAATGAGCACCTTTAAGAGGTTCAGTGGCTCACCTTTATTTGCTTCTGTGGTTGTGATGTCTGAGTGGCAGCTGGCAGCGCTTTTTCCCGAGGACCCCGGGCCTTGTCGCTGCCCAGCGAGCTCATCATATACAGTATATACAAAACTCTGTATGTACAAAATAGAAAAACCTGAAAAAGAGAGGGTGAGCAAAATCATTGATCAGCTTTACAAATTACACACATAACCACATCTACAACAGAGACGCTACACTTCCTCTTGTGTGAGAGCCTAAAACTAATTAGGAGCTCAATACCACACAAGTAAAGCCTCACTGCCAAATAATGAATAGTGGTCTTGTGGAGGCTGTAAGACGCACAGTTGGCCTGGTGATGCAACAGCTTTGCTAGAAATCTGGGTCAAGGATGAAGAGCAACCCAGTGTCCTCTTTCAAACAGCACACACCACAGTGTGAGGAGCAGCACAAACCTAGACCTCAACAACCCACCCAGTCCTAGATAAGACCCATCAGTCACGCCCTAAACCAGGCTTTCTGCACATTTTTCATTTTGAAACACCACACTTTTCCAGTTAGTTTCAGGGTCATTTTAACACTAAAGCACCCGAAAAATTAACTATAATTCACAATTTCTGTTCACAGGTGCTGTTTTATAATGTGTCCTTATTTAAAGTTATTGGATACAAAAGATTTTTAACATCAAATACAAATATGTTTCTRACTTTTTACTCTTCTGTTAATAAAAGTTTCTTTGAACTAGCTACAGTATGTGTTTACCAGATTTTCATTCCTATCATTCTATCAAACAAATCTCCCTAAATTCATATTTTGTTTTTTTTAAGTCTTTACACAAAAATCTGTACACGTTGATCAGCTAAATTATTAAAGCTGTTGCATTTTCATTAGGGAGATTATAAATAGTATGAATTGGGTGATCCTGTCACAAGGAATGATCTCTTCTGTTTCAATTTCTGGAAGTCTTTGTTTTTGAATTTTTCAATCTCAATTTTTCAAAACAATGTTATTTTTTAATTAGTATATAGTCAAAGTGAAAAATGCCTTGCTCATTTCAACAGCTTTTAGAAGTTTTTATTTTTCCTTTAGAAACTGCTATAGGTCTGATATATAATATATATATATCTGATATATGATATATAAATCTGAAAACACCTGTTTTTCTGCACTGAAAACAAACCGATTAACCAGCTGATAATTGCCACTTAAAAAACATTGCCTATACATAATTAATTACAATTAAGTTAATGACAGTGCTGCAACAGCTAAAAATATCTCACCGGCACTCATAATCATTTTTTTATTTTATTCTTTATACATAATTGTAATGTCCACAAGTTCTTCTAAGGGTTGTTATGATTTTTTTTAAATTAGGCAATTATTGTTATATTTTTTCCATAAAAAAGCACATATTGGTCAAAAATAAAAATAAAACAATGGTGTTATAAATCATTGGCTGTGATTTCTAAAGATCAACAACAGCCACAAAAAAAAAATACTTAGTTGACCTTTACATGCTCTGTTTTCTTATTTAAATATTAATCTAGTCCTGGAAAGAATTAAACTCAAATATTATACTTTTCAAGACTGTGTTAGAATCCTGGTAGACACAATCTCCAGCACTGAATCAAGTGTTTGACATTTGAGTATCATATAATTTAGATGTTGCTGAAAAGTAGTTATAATGCTTTAAACAAGCAAATTACTCAGAATCATAATAAAACCCATTGAACTCAATCTACCCGCAAAAATATCAACGTTATTGTTAAATAKTTTGTACAAAATAAGTTCAGACATCCCCACAGACCCATTTGTTTCATGCCAGAGAACAATGGCAGTCCAGCTTTGTGGGCCTGAGTGACGTAGACAAATACAGCGCTCTGATTGGCTGATCAGCTGAACAAAGCTACAACACCAAGAAGCTTTAAATATGAATAGAAAATAAAAAGATGAACATCAAACTTCGATCACGGAGGCTGTAATGTGTCATGTTCCACACTGCTAATTAAACACCGCAAAATTACATTTGAGAGTCACAAAACAATAACTCAAAGATTATTTAAATCTAAGCTATCATTAATATTCAGCAGGAGAAAAATAAGATAAGCATTATCATGCTGAACTGTACGCGTTTAAGTTTGATGACATTTGAGTGTTTAGGCTGGTTGAATGGTAATACCCCTTTGCTTTCGTTAAGGAAGCCTAGCGTTGTTTTTACCTGCATGACGTTAGCCTGTTGTTGTCATTAGCCACTGTAAGATTCCGGATACATAATTATACTACAAACACACTAATATTTCGACACATCTTTTATTGTTTCGACTCTGACTTTTCCGCCTYTTTATTGTTGATAGTTAGCGTCCCCTTTGTCCTCGCTAGCATGAAGTTAGCCGCTTCATGCTACTGCTGACACTGAACAAACGATGCTAACTAAATCTGACCCAAGTTGATAGCCGACGGCTAACTAACTCTTTTTAATGTGTTGACAGGATAGCAGTAATTTAACCACAGGCAATAAACAGGTAGCGGGCATGTAAACTAAAAAGCTAGTCCGCAAACAACAAAGGTGTATCAAACGTAAAGGAAAAAGGCCTCGCAGCGCACACAATCCCATACCGACATTGCTCGCCGGGAATCAAGACAACAGAGGGGAAAAAATGCTAAAAGACATCTTTCTGAAAACCCGGAGTGAGCGAGACGACGAGGCCCGCGCCCAACTCCTTCTGAGAACACGACATTATTTACAATCTCTGCTGYTTGTAAAATGCTCAGACTAAACTTGAACGGGATGAGGAGAATTTGTTTTMTTTTTTATTACCTGCTAACACGCTTCACTCGTCCAGCAGCAGCAGACAGGAGGGTCACGTGACGCGCGCTGCCGCGGTGGATGGATGCTGRTGCCCTCGCCTCAAACTCACCAGAGTTCTGTTCACGGCCGTCYACAACAAACCAGCAGATAACAGACCTTTTCTTTTTCTTGTTATGTACGCAGCATTAAGAGCACATGCTCACTTTAAAGTGGAGAGGACCCATCGTGCCTAAAGTTAGGGTTCGGGACCTCACAGTCGGACGTGGAATACAAGGTGAGGGTCGAAATAATTTAATAGCATTTTTTTCAGCAAAACTTCTAAAAATATATATATAAGATAATTACTATAATAACACAGCTATGTCTTTTGTTATACAGTTGAAAAATTGTGCATGGAGTCATGACCTTGACCTTTGACTCTACAGAGACCATCCTTGACAAGGGTGCAGTTTTCTTAATCTCACTGTTAATTTACATGCATTCACGTTGCAAATTAATTTTGTCTTTGATATATATTAAAAACCAAGTTTTCCAATTAAAATAATTAATCAGATTTATTTTAAACACAATGAGGAACACCTGTTCATGCTAACCAACAGCTGTGGACTGAAGCAGTTCTAGSGGGGATCTAGGGGATATATTCTCCCTGAACATTTTGTTTAAGATCTACTGAAACCTTTACACTTTTCAGCCATTTGAAGGTCATTTTTGATAAATTCATGGGATTAATAAAACAACATAAAATCAGTATTTTGTGAATGTAGAACACTGACAACCAGACTTTAACATGATTATCTGGGATCATAACTGAAACTTCTGTTATTCTTATTTTATGTTCTATTTGCACAGAGCATCATAAGTTAATCTTGACTGCATCATATGATACTTTTATGAAATATTCCCTGAACCATATAACACCTCATGTRAACCCACAGAACAAGTTATTAACCTGAGTAACCAGTGATTATTCTACAGACTAACTCAACTATAACCTGATAAAAAAAGTTAGAAAGTATTTTTTCATCTCTTGGCACCCCCTAGATGGACYCCACCCTTAGCATTTGCCTACGATGCCTATGCAACAGGCTGGACTCATGAGGTGTCCCGCTGTGCAATTTGATATTACTTGGTGAGGAGTGAAAACAGATAAACGGACCACACCATATGTGCCTTCCAACAGGCGTATACAACCAAAAGCTATAAAATGGTTATGTTCTTACTACACTAATGTTTAATTAGTTTATTTCTAATGTTTGTAAAGTTTTACAAGGGTTAGCTTCCAGTTAGTTTGTTCCCTTGCTGTTTTTTTTAACCAAGCTAACTCATGAGAACAGAAAGAAGCTACCTGCCATGAGTCTTCATACCCATCTAGAAAACTGCCTCAACACTTATGACTTATTCTACAAGAGCATTATTATCTTCACTTGTTAGAGGATAGTGTGTTTGTCAAATCTCTTGCCGTGTCTTCTGGCCACTAATCTTAACCTGGTTAGACACACAGTCCTTCAGTCTCACAAACTGTGGTATATTTGTCAGGTAGTCTTTGATCTAGGCGATTGTTGAGGCCTCCACCGAAGTCTTCTGGAGTTTCAGACAAAGCAACTCAGGCTGAATTGTTAAAATCACTGGAGAAATCAAAGAACATGATCCTCATAGTGCTGTCTGCTTTGTCCAGATGACAGTGGGTTTGTTGAAGCAGGTGTATAATGGTGTCTGGAGGGGGTCCTGATGTGTGCTTGTTTGCTTACTCAGCTGGGTCAACAGGGGTTTCACTAGGACCTTCATGATGTGGGATGTCAGGGTAACAGGTCTGTAGTTGTTGAGGGCTGATGGGTGAGTTTTCGTTGGGACTGGAACAAGACAGGATGTCTTCCACAACACTGGAACCTTCTCTTGGGTCAAGCTAAGATTGAAGAGGTGTTGCAGCGCTGGTCTGCACAGGACTCAGGGGCTGACACCACCTAGACCTGCAGCCTTGTTCCGGTTCAGTCTCTCTAGCTGCCTGGATGACACCTTCTGTTGTTGACAAGCATTGCTAATSCACCTCCTTTCTTTTTCCCGCTGCTCTTTAAATCTGTCTGCTTGTATGGTCTGAAAGCCTGGCAGAGAGATGTTGGAGTCAGGGATATGATCCTGCAGCCATGTCTCAGTGAAACACATAATACTGCATTCCCTATACTCTTGCTGAGTCCTTGTCAGGGCTTGAAGTTCTTTCAGCGTGTTAGCTAACAATCTCACGTTGCCCATCAGGATTGATGGAAGAGATGGTTTGAACTTCTCTCTCGCCTCTTTGCTCCAGCTCTGCATCCACGATGCCTCCTTTTAAACTCCTCTGGGATTTGTGGTTTAAGGCTAATAGAAACAATAAGTAGAAGTTCAGGCTACAAAGTGGTAAAAATACAAATTCATCTGCAACCACTCAGTTGGGTGGCAGTGGCTGTTTTGTTTGTACTTGAAGTTTAGGGAAAAAAAGTGACTCATGAAGACATCTTACATCAATAAACGTTTTATTTGTATTACTTATTCCTTTTTAATTAATTATACATTTCCCCCCAAGTGTTAATATTTTACAATACCCCGTTTCAATCAATTGTAAAAACCTCCACGAGGCATGTATTAAAAAAGTGTCACCAAGTAGACCAATCAATCTACACACCTTCTCAGACTTATACATAAAATGTATGCAATTGTCCTAATGCATTTTACACATACATATACACATTTATATATAAAATACATTTAAGTGTTTTTTTTCTTGATGTTTAATATGTGGTCAGAATTGTTTTTTTTTTTTTTTTGTTTTTGTCCAATCATCATTAAAGCTGGAGAAAAGCTCCATTTAGAAAAGGAAAACAATGATCTGTGGCAGTCTTTCACAGAAAGACTTTAGGAAGGCAAAACTGTAACCTAAGCATACTTTGCCTCTTTCTAAGAAAGAAAAGAGTAGAAAGAGCCTCTTTGCTAAAACAAAACAATTATAATAAAAAAACAGGGGTGGGGTAGTTTAACTGTGACAGCAAATGTTTGTACCTGCAGCTTTTAACTTCATTCAGGGACTAAAACTGTTTTCTGCGTTTCCTTCCAGCTAAGATCTAACTGAGCTACAACAGATCATTTTTGTGGAGGCGATTTTCAGCCAGTGATTARAGGGTTCAACTTGCCACCAAAATTCAAAATCTTGGCCTAAACTCTAATAAAGTAAATAAAGCAGCTGAAAGCATTCTGAGCAATATAAGGGGAATACAAGCAATGAGCCAAAAAAAAAAACTTCTTCCAACAAACCAAACAATCTTGATTAACCACATAAAGGTGACAAGGAAACGGGGAAATAAATACAAATAAAGCAATTAAAACATCAATAGCTTGTCAGATTACAGTAAAAAGAAGAAGCTTTGTTTGCGATTAAAACATCAGCACAGCATTCATCAACTCAACACTTTTTAAAATCTTTACATCATCTGAATGAAGGTAAAACAAAGTCTCATTTAGATCCTGGTTTTCCTTCTGGCAGGAGAAGAGTGAAGTTCTTAGTGATTGTTACCGACCAGCAAATACTGTAGTCCTTCTGTCCCGGTTATTGCTGTCCATTTAGGTGAGAAAATGAACTTCAAAGACGTTTCACAAAAAACAAAAAACAAAACAAAAAAAAAAACCTGTTATCACGGAGGAAGCAGCAGTTCAAAAACAGCACAGCCTAATCCCTGCAGTCTGGTTGTGAAGGAATAATTAAAGTTAATGTGTATACTTTTTATTTTTAACGGTTTTCTCAGGCAGAATTTGCAGCTTTTTATTTAATTATTAGGTAATTGTACATTTATATATATATTTATATATTTATATTAAAAACAAGGTGAAAAGTGTAAAAAAATGGACACAAATATACACGGTAACAATATTGAAGGTTATGAAAGATCATGCTCCTGAGTCCACGGATGAGCCGAACGCCGAAGACAGTGATGAGGAAGATGGGTGGAGGTACTTGATAAATGAATATCTGGATAGAGATGTTGTGGAAAAAGCGAACGAAGGGGGTGGGGGAAAAACGAGGCTAGCTCCAAAGTCCGGCATAGTTGCCGTGCAGACCCGAGCAGAGCGGCCCACCGGCTACAAACAGTTTGGTGCCGGACTCGTCGTAGCAGTGGGTGTACACGGCGTTGGGGAAGGAATGGATGTCTGAGAAGTAACTCCTCCACGTCTCGTCGTGGTTCTGGAAGCAACACGGGACAAGAACAGACAATTAGGACTATTTCTGATGACGAGAACTTTTAATGTTTCACATTTTGATAAAAAAAATAATAATAAATTTGGTGCATACCAGCCAGCCTTTCCCTGTAGTGAGCTTCAGAATGCTGTCTGCCGGGCACTTCCGATACCCACCGGCTGGATTAAAAGAGTTCTCCAGGAATCTCTGAGCTCGGATGTCATAGAAGAGAAGGGAACCCTGCCCGGTTCCCACAGTCACGATGTGCTCATAGAAACTCACTGATCGGATCCCTGACAAAGACATGTTCAACCATTAATYTCAAGCTATTCAAACGTAAACCTGTCCCCACTTTTGTCTCTTGGTGCTATTGTTGTTGTTTTTCATTAGACTTTCACCAGTTCATGGAAAAAAKCAATGTTAGCCTCCCACGTACTTATTGATCATACAAGATTACAACATGAGCCAGAAAATCTTTAAAGTAGCCAACTTTTTGGGAATGTGTCAACCATRAAGGAGCCATTGAAAGCATTAAAGTTGAAAAGAAAAACTAGTGTCATGTAACAAGCTCATGGAAACTGTGAAACTGAAACATGATGCTGCACCTGAGGACAATCATTTGTCAACTAGGTTAAAAGTGGGTCAAATACCATTTGGTCTTCAAAGAATGGAGTCATAGTAAAGCTGTTGAACAACTTAAACCAAACATTTTCTGTGAGAAAACCTACAAACATTTTAAGAATTTATGCTCTTTGTCCAGGGGAATGACCTAAAGTTCCTTCAAACTAATTCTCCTGATAGATCAAGAACACTGTTACTAAAAACACTTTTCACTTTTAAAAGGTTCACTGCTTAACTTCAATACAATACTTTACAAATCAATAAATGTCTTGAGCTTTAAATTGATTTATTTTCATCTACCTTGCTTTGTGTTTACAAAAAGTCACAACTGGAATCGATTATAACAAGAACATATTACTCTAAGATTTGACAAGTTGGTCCACTGTCCTACGCATTTTTTTAAAATAATTTAACTAACTTGACAGATGACTTACCACTTCCTCTCTCTCTGGAGCTGACAGACTTGATGCTGTGTATGGGCTGCCGTGGATCCAGGAAGGAGACATGGGCCTGAGAGCCCACAGCGTACACTGACCAGTCCTGCCCGTATGCTAAACACACATTCTCTTTGCAGTGAGGCAGCTTGGTGGACAGTATCTGCAGATTAACAGAGTAGAAAAAAATTAAAGGTTTTAAAGTGCCTGTGACATGCATATCCTTCAAATATGAAAAAGGTCAAAGAAACATGTTATTTTTTCCACTTTGTCACATAAATGMCATATTTTACTTTGAGTTTGGCTCAAAGTAAAACAGGAAGTGACATTAAAGGGTAACTCCAAGAAAGAAAACTGTTTTTTATTTATTGAAAAATTATTTGAACTCTGACTCTTCTTCATCTTTCCCTGATAGTGACGCAGTTTAATCTAAAAAAAGATTCTTCTCTACAGTCTGTGTTGTTACTTATTGTAGCACTGCTCTGTTCACATGGAGACATTCCCCTTTGACATCACTTCCTGTTACTTCACATGAAATGATCTCAACAACTGTTCATCACAGCGAKGTGAAATCTCTTTTGCAATCAACATTATCTTTCCAAAATCACATTCATATTTTTTATTTAAAAAAATGATGTCATTGGCACGGTTGAACGAGCAGGTATGATCTCTGTTTCAAAAATGCAAAACGAAACAAAGGTTTTGTTTCTCTATAGTGACTCAAAATAATTTAAAGAAACATCATATTCTTCTCTACAGTTTGTATTGTTAGTCATTGTAGCAATGCTCTGTTCACATGGAG